CAACAAATCAAAATTTGTGGATGCAACTAAGGCAGTACTTACTGGGAATTTCAAAGCACTAACCAGCCATACTAGAAAAGAAGGATCTCAAATAAATGACTTTAAGAAACTAGATAAATATGGGCAAATGAAACTGAAAGAAAATAGAAGGATAATAAAGTTCTGAATGGAAATCAATGGAACAGAAAAAGAGAAATTGCTGAAACTAAAAGCTAGTTCTTTGAGAACATTTATAAACTTCTAGCAGACAGATCATGAAAAAAACGTAAGATGCAAATGAACATTACCAAAACTGAGAGCAGTGACATCATTACAAATTCTACACATATTAAATATGTAACAAAGTAATATTATCAACAACTCAACACCTATAAATTTGACAGTTTGATAAAATGGAGAAATTCCTTAAAATAAATTACCAAAGTTCACTTAAGTATAAATATTTTGAATAGCCATGTATCTATGAGAGAAATTAATTTTCTTTTGTAAAAAATCTTATCACAATGTAAGTTGGTGCAGCCACTTTGGAAAACAGTGTGAAGATTCCTTAAGAAATTAGAAATAGAGCTTCCCTATGATCCTGCAATTGCACTACTGGGTATTTACCCCAAAGATACAGATGTAGTGAAAAAAAGGGCCATCTGTACCCCAATGTTCATAGCAGTAATGGCCACAGTCACCAAACTGGAAAGAAAACAAAAATGCCCTTTCAATGGACGAATGGATAAGGAAGCTGTGGCCCATATATACAACGGAGTATTATGCCTCCATCAGAAAGAATGAATACCAAACTTTTGTATCAACATGGATGGGACTGGAAGAGATCACGCTGAGTGAAATAAGTCAAGCAGAGAGAGTCAATTATCATATGGTTTCACTTACTTGTGGAGCATGAAGAATAACATGGAGGACATGGGGAGATGGAGAGGAGAAGTGAGTTGGGGGAAATTGGAAGGGGAGACGAACCATGAGAGACTGAGGACTCTGAGAAACAAACTGAGGGTTTTGGAGGGGAGGGTAGTAGGGGGTTGGGTGAGCCTGGTGGTGGGTGTTATGGAGGGCACATACTGCATGGAACACTGGATGTGGTACATAAACAATTGATTCTGGAACACTGAAAAGAAATTAAAAAAAAATTTTATTCTTATCACAAAGAAAATTCCAGGCTTCACTGGGAAATTCTATCAAACATTGAAGGAAAAAATACAATACCTTTTATACAAACTTCTAGACTATAATACCATTTCATATAAACTTCTAAAAAACAGATGAACACTTCTCATTTTATGAAGCCAGCATTATCATGATACCAAAATCAGAAAAAGAATACAGATCAATATCCCTTATGAACATAAAAATCCCTAATAAAATTTTAACAAATCAAGTCTGACAATATGTAAAAATGATAAAATATTATGACCAAGTAGAGTTAATCTTAGGAATGCATGATTTGTTTGGTATTAGGAATATTGGGAAGTTACCATATCAACAGACCAAATAAAGATGAAACTCATGCAAAGATTACTTTCACATAAAGTATTCGATAAAATCATTTCCAAACAAATTCTATTCCTGACAATCTCACCAAAATAGAAATAGAAAGGATTTTCCTCAACTTGTTTAATGCATCCACAAGTAACCTACGGCTAACATAATTGCTGATGTTAAGACACTTCCATTACAACAGATTTATCAATTTTTCTTTGCAGTATTTATCTTTTGATAATCAGCTTTATTGAGGTGAAACTTAAAATACACTCATTTTAAGCACACAATTCAAAGTACTTTTAAAAATATAGTCATGTAGCCATAATTACAATTATGACATAAATGTCCCCTCTGCCTCTATGTAGTAAATCCCTTTTCTTCACACCCAACCCCAGCCTAGGCCCTGGAAATCAGTAACCTTCTGTCACATAGATATACCTTTTTTAGAACATCATGTAAATGGAATCCTATGTATACTTTTGTGTGCATCAGTAGGTGGTACTTTTTAATGCTGAGATGTATTCCATTTTATGGAATGAACTACATTTGTTTATCTATTCACCAGTTGGGTTGTTTCCAGTTTGGGACTATGATGAATAAAGCTGTATTATTCATGCATGCCTCTGTATGGAGATATCTTTCATTTCTTTAGGGGAAATGCTTACAAAGAATATTGCTGAGTCACACAGCGAAGTGTGCATTTAACTTAATTTGAAAAAGAAAAAACAAAACAAAACTCAAATTTCCAAAATGGCTGTTGCAGTTTTCACTCCTACGGTAATGAGCCTCATGACATTCACTCCAGCATTTTTCTCTTCAGCATGTTTTCCTTTCTTTATTGCATCATTTCCACTCACATAAAAACATGCTTCCAGGGTGCCTGGGTGGCTCAGTGTGTTAAGCCGCTGCCTTCGGCTCAGGTCATGATCTCAGGGTCCTGGGATGGAGTCCCGCATCGGGCTCTCTGCTCAGCAGGGAGCCTGCTTCCCTCTCTCTCTCTGCCTGCTTCTCTGTCTGCTTGTGATCTCTCTCTGTCAAATAAATAAATAAAATCTTAAAAAAAAAAAAAAAACATGCTTCCATTCTCCATCTTAAAAAAGTCTTTGACCCCACGCCTCCTCTAGCTACGACCCATATTCTCTTTCCCTGTTCAGCAATGCTCCTAGAAGGATCGGTCTACAGTCTTTCCTCTCAGCATCAATTAACCCTGCTCCAAACAAACTTCACTACTTCATCAAAACTGTTCTCATCAAAGCCACCAAATCCAGAGATAAATTCTTGTGATCTTTAAAACTATGTTCTCACAGTTTAAAATTATTCATGTCTCCATGAGGACTATGGACTCTGTGAGTAGTAGTGCTGTTAAGTGCTGTTATTTTTCCTATCTTGGATATTAAAAATATTACACGTGCAACCCTCAAAACATGTCTGTTAAATGAACAACCAAAGAAATTTCTTTAACATCTTGAATTGGAAAATCAAACTAGAACATGCCATAATTTAATAATCATAGATTTAGTTAGAATTCTATTAAAGTTAGATTAATTTCTGAGATTTACTTTACCTTCACAGATTCCTTAGATGCCTATGCATTATGAGGAGGCATAACTACGGAGATGAAATTCTGAAAACAGGTATTCAAAGATTTATATACGAGTGCTTACATTTTCCCTTTTGTTTATACTGTTTTCACATTTGTTTACACTGTTACCATAAAATATAGTTTCTCATAATGAATCCTGTAAAATGTATGAGGTACCCATTCATAAAATAGAAATAAAGTCTGTCCTAAGGACTTATACTTTAAATAATTAAAACAAAACTGAAAGTCAAGGCAGGGTTGTGTTTATTTCTATTCTAAATAGTATTCTTAGAATAATAGGTACAAAAATAATTTACAATGCTAGCTACATTAATGACCATATTTTACATTTTATTTCACCAAATCGCTAGGTCATTGTTCATAAGACATTTATTTAACAAATGAACACAAACGCCTTCTGGCTTCAGCTGAATTCACTTTTCCAAAATGTAACTGTTATTATCTAGATCTTACTTCAGTTTCCAATCAAAATCACCAATGAATATTATAAAACTAAGATAGTTCCTTCTCCATCTATATTTCCAATTACCATGTAAGAGCTTTTAAAAAGGAAATAAAGCTGCAATTTCTTAGTATCAATAACAGTAACTCAGGAACAGAATGGGAAGAAATGAAACGATAAACATGTATTACAGCTTTCCAAAATTAAGTCTGAAAGTAGACAAAAGCTTGGTATTTTGATTAACCTAGGACTCTCTTACTTAACTCTATCAACCAGAGCTAAAGGGAGCAATATGCCAAATTAACTTGCTCAATTTTCTTTTCTCAACTTTTTCAATGCCCTTTACGAACACCATTACTGAGCAGCTACTGTTAGCATTAACAGCATAAAACCCAATTTTGGAAGGTTGATATTACAATAGCCTAAATATCACACAGCTGAAAACTGTATGGTGCCAGTTGTTTCATGATACTGAAAGGAAAAATTAGTTTGTGGATGAGCTATTTTTGGTTTTAGAAAAAAAGGCTTCAAAATGGTTTTATTGGTTGATTTATATTTAAATATAAGTAATGCATACAAAATGACTACCACACATAAGTTAAAAAAATTTGTTAAGATTGCTAACTGAAAAATATTTTTGTGTATTATTTTTCATATATTAAATGTGACAGTTATAAGAAAACAGACTTTAGCAAATTGTATTAATCTCACTGGAGCAAAGCTTTCTGTTTAAATAAAACATTGTGTTACTCATTTAAAATAATTTAGAAGTTATTCTCCTTAATGTTTTTAAGTTCAGCACAAATAAAATTTATCACTAAGAAAAATTCATAACAAATGAAAAGTCAAATGCTTATCAGTATGAAATAACAAATCTACCTTCTAAATGAACCATGTAGAGCCTACATTTCACATGAAAAATTATAATTTGATATAGCTATCAAAAACAATTCCTAGAAAAACAATTATGTCTGAGAACAATAGTTTTCTTAGCATTTGCTATGATAAATATAATTTATTTCCACCACATGTAAAATTAGTAATTGTGGCTTTGTCTATTTTCCTTTATAGGTGCAGACAAAACATGAAGAAAATAAATGTCTTCCTTGTTCGTATGGACTCTCTCTCTGGCTAGTAAACAATTATTTATAATGTTGATGCTTCTTTCAAAACTCATTTAGAAAAAAATATTTTAATCTTCTGGTAAAGAAAGAGATGTCAGTTGGGACCAGCTCTTAAATGTAAAGAACTATAAGTAAATTAGATCTGATTCTAAAACAGCCTCAGAAAACAACAAACTTAACAAAAATGAATTTACTTCATGTCACAAATTGAGCTAATTCCTAATCAAATATATATTATTATATTGAAAGAGTCCCAGTATTGATTCACAATATGGGTATTCACAAAGCATATGTTGTTTTAGACACAGAAGACAATCAAGTCCCTCTGTTTTCTTTACAAATAAATAAAACATGACATTAAACCGTGCACTTCACCATCTATGTGCTCTGCACTCTAATGTTCCGCATGTCTCTCAGCACTACTGTTCGGTAGTTTTGTTCCAAAATCTCCATGTATTCAAAGTAATCACTCACTCGAAAACCATGCAGTGCTTCCTCCTGTCAAAAAATACAAAGAGAAATTAATTTGCTTGCATAAAGAAACACAATTCTAAGTTGATGAATTTTAAATAGTTGACTTTTTCAGCTATAGATGGGGGCTTTATGTTGCTAGTAAATATGTAATTGTTTTTTACGTAGTAGGCTATGTATGTATGTGATAGCAAAAAAATCATGTACCTATGAAACAAGCTTGTCTGTTTGTAAAACCAAATACGTTTTACAGCTAACAAAAAATAAGGCAAATTCTTACTTAATGAAATCTTCCTACTATTTTGGATAAAGTTTCAATTATAGAATGATTGTTCACATTTTTAATGAATAAAGACCTTAAAGCTTATCAAAGGATACTATAATGTCCAAGAAATATCTGTTCTACAGCTCTGAAGGTTCATAAAACCTTCAATAGTCTATAACTCATAATGTTGGTACTGTGCATGTCTATGCTAATTCTGAATTTAATGGTTAATGTCCCAAATGAGGCACTCAAGAATAAAAGAATAGGAATACTCACTTAAAATCTTGGAGACTTTAAGGGAATTGTACAGCTATTTCTTTTAACATTTCTAAATACAAGCTATGAAGTACCTACCCTCCAAAAATTCTAAAGAAAAATCATATCTAATCCAATGTAGTATTATGGTCAGAGTTTTGGAGGTTATTTTAAAAGTTGGACAATTCATGCCTTTCTAGAGATTACAGTTTAGAGATAAAAGTACTAACAAAAACCAAAAGCAGTTCAAAAAGAACAAAAGATAATATACTATCCTACCAGATAATTGTGCCTGAGGTGATCAGTTTATAGATGAGATAAACGAATGTATAATGACTAGGAAAACACTACACGCAATTCTCAGTAAGGATGAATGTTTGTAAAAGCCTTCCTCAAATGTTACTGCTCACTTATTTAAGTAATAGTTCTCAGCTTGCAAATGACTTGGGAGAACTTATACTTATTTTGCCATGTATCACCTGAAATATGGATAACCTGGAGGAATAGTTGGTACATCAAAAAAAAAAAAAATTACTGATCTACAAGTCTGATGTTATAGCCAAAAAAACTAAATGATGTTAAGTTGTATGTGTAACATTATAACACTGGCTAGAGCTAACTCCTCCCAACATAAAAATTTGAACTTTGGGTGCCTGGGTGGCTCAGTGGGTTGAGCCGCTGCCTTCGGCTCGGGTCATGATCTCAGGGTCCTGGGATCAATTCCCAACTCTGGCTCTCTGCTCAGTGGGGAGCCTGCTTCCCTCTCTCTCTGCCTGCCTCTCTGCCTACTTGGGATCTCTCTCTGTCAATTAGATAAATAAAATCTTTTTAAAAAAACTGAACTTTACCTTTAATTTAAAAAATAATTGTTATCTATTCCTTTATTTCTTCATTAACTTATTCATTCTTGATTATAAACTGAAGACACGAAGGTTAATTTGGCAGGTCCCTGTCCTAAAACATTAACAGCTGAGGTATATATTGTGTCTCCAGTTTTATGTATAAGCAACTCAATCAAAGGGAAGATGTTCATCTTATGAATAGCAGAAATACTGGGTCTTTGTAAATTTCTCTCTTGTCAAAAAATATTTCACTTTGCTTTTGGGGAAAAACAGGATTGAAGACAATTCTTACTGCTCAAGAATTCACCTTAAACAGTTACTGTTGTAGGTCAGGAACTATTTATGAATTTAACCATTCTTTTCATTCAAATTATGTGTGATTTGGCACTGATCAACTCCTCATTAAAACTTTAATGAGGAGTCTGTATGTCAGTGGAGAGAAATTATAGTAATGTGTTATTCTAACAGATAAAAACCCAATGTCAGAAAAATTGCTTTAGTGCATACACATGATTTTTAAAAGAATGCTTATTGTTCATTAACTGAATCACAATAGGAGATGACACCATTTGAATAATAGCTCTAATAATTCTTTTCTGGGCAAAAATATGCAAAATCTATTGAACATATTTAATTACTGTTCCACTTATGGAGAACCATTGTTATCACTTGTCTTACATGTATTTTTCCTTAAAATATTTTTTGAATTATGGCTTTAATTTTTGGACATTAATTTCAAATTAAAGAGAAAATACCCTGATAACTATTCTGAAGAGACACCCATAATGCAAACTGGTGCAACCACTCTGGAAAACAGTACGGAATTTCCTCAAAAAGGTAAAAACATAACTACCCTACAATCCAGCAACTGCACTACTAGGTACTTCCCCAAAGGACACAAAAATACTGATTTGAATGGACACATGCATCCCAATGTTTACAGGAGCATTATCAACAATAGTCAAATAATGGAAAAAGCCCAAAGGTATATCAACTGATGAATGGATAAAGAAGATATGGTATGTGCATGCATACACACACACACACACACACACACACACACACACACACACGCTGGAATATTACTCAGCCATCAAAAAGAATAAAATCTTGCCATTTACAGTGATGTGGATAGAGCTAGAGAGTATTATGCCAAACAAAATAAGTCAAAGATAGATACCATATGATTTCATTCATATGTGGAATTTAAGAAATGATGTAAAACAGATGAACATAGGGGAAAAAAAGGAAGGCAAACCATAAAGTAGATGCTTAACTATAAAGAACAAACTGAGTGTTGCTGGAGAGGAGGAGGATGGGGGATGGATTAAATGGGTGATGGGTATTATGAAGGGGCCTTTTGATAAGCACTGGGTATTGTATCTTAGTAATGAATCACTGAATTCTACTCCTGAAACTAATATTATATAATATGTTATCTAACTGGAATTTAAATAAAAACTTGAAACAAATAAAAATGGCCAAATAAGTCTATAAAGGTCATTATATCATAAGAGAAAAACATTCATTTTTAAAATAATGTTTTTAAATGATGCAGTTCATTATTTAAATTTTACAATTTATAACTCTGAATAAAATCTTCAGAATCTCTAATTCTACTTTTTATCTTCAGAGTGGTGTATTTTTCATTTTATCCTAAATGTTCTCTAATGACTTTAGTGGATAACTTTACCTTGTAATTATAACCATTTAGACTGCCAGCTTATCATTCAATTTATAGAAGACAATTTCTTCAGAATACTGCTTTATCATTTTGTTTATAGATCTCAGTGTATTGGACTCTGTATAAAAATATGAATTCACTTATTTTTTTTTCAGTAATCTCTACCCCCAATGTGGGGCTTGATTTTATGACCCCAACATTAAGAGTTGCATGCTGTCCTGAGCTAGCCAGGCACACATGAATTCCCTTATTCTTTAAGTAGGCAAACATGTAATTATATAAAGCAATACTATCCCTTTTTATATAAACAATGGACTATATTTTCTAATATGTTACTTCTGAAGTGGTTTATATCTTGGTTAGAAGTTCATTTTGAGCATACTGCATTTTCTTTTTTGTATCTTAATATCTTTTCAACCAGTGATTGGCTCTCTTCATTAATTCTAGGTTTCAAATGTTGAAATCACCAAAAAGCATTAAAAAATTACTATTCTAGGGTGTCTGGGTGGCTCAGTTGGTTAAGCATATGCCTTTGGCTCAGATCATGATCCCAGCATCCTGGGTTTGAGTCCTGCATCAGGTTCCCTGATCAGTGGGCAGTCTGCTTCTTCCTTTCCTTCTGCCTCTCCCTCTGCTTGTGCTCTCTTTCACTTGCTTGCTCTCTCAAATAAATAAAATCTTTAAAAAAATGGTGAGCCTGGTGGGTATTATGGAGGGCACATATTGCATGGAGCAATGGGTGTGGTGTATAAACAACGAATTTTGGAACACTGAAAAAAATGAAATAAAATTCAAAAAAATAACAAAATGAAAAATAAAAATTACTATTTTAAACCACAATATTTCATGTGCATTCAATATTACATGATGTGGCATATACACAGCTTGCCTCTCTCCTTTGTATACAGAACCCAGTTTCAAATATGTATCCACTGATTTTTCTTTTACTATTGAGAACATTTAACTAGAAGGTCCACTGAAGGTTTTTTGTTTTGTTTTGTTTTGTTTTGTTTTGTTTTTTAAAGATTTTATTTATTTATTGGACAGAGAGAGATCACAAGTAGGAAGAGAGGCAGGCAGAGAGAGAGAGGAGGAAAAGCAGGCTCCCCACCAAGGAAAGAGCCCGATGTGGGGCTCGATCCCAGGACCCTGGGATCATGACCTGAGCCGAAGGCAGAGGCTTTAACACTCTGAGCCACCTAGGCGCCCCTGAATTTAAGGTTTTTAAAAAGGTAACCAGACTAGTTAGCGAGAGTCAACCTGATATACTAGAAGGAGTACAAGATTTGGATTCATACCAAAAAGGGTCCAAACTCCCCTGTACTAGTTACTAGATGTATGAACCTGAACCTGAGGAAGTTTACCGACACTCTAAGCCTCAATTTCTCCTGTGCAAATGCAGACAATAATGGCATAAAGTTGTACTGTCTAGACTCCTTTTCCTGGACTATAAAACCTTATATGATCTGGCCCTGACTCCTCTCTTACTGTTCTATCTCACCTTGTTCTGCCACAGTGGTCATCTCAACACTTTCTAAGTGGGTCAACCTCATTCTTACCTCTAAGATTCTGCATATGCCTTTCTTTCTATTTAGAAGAATTTTGCCCAGAAGTCCTTGCTTTGCTTTTTCCTTTGCTTCATTCAGATTTCTGCTTACTCTCTCAGAGTAGCCTTTGCTGGACTCTATACAGCATCTCTGACTTAGTATGACTCTCTTAAGATGTTTGATTTCCTTATGATAAGATCTATCAATACCTGAAGCATTTTTTTTTAAAAGATTTGATTTATTTATTTGACAGACAGAGATCTCAAGTAGGTGAAGAGGCAGGCAGAGAAAGAGAGAGAGGAGGAAGCAGGCTTCCCACTGGGCAGAGAGCCCGATGCAGGGCTCGATCCCAGGACCCTGGGATCATGACCTGAGTGGAAGGCAGAGGCTTTAACCCACTAAGCCACCCAGGCGCCCCTGAAGCATTATGTATT